GAGTCTTTTTAAACTCAAGTTTTTCATAATTCATAAATTAATTAATTTACTATGAATCATCTGATGATTTCTGATGCCAAAACTGTCATTTCCATGCATTATTTTAGTATGTTATGAGATATATAATTTCCACTACATTGCATAGCATTTCATACATGCTAAATGCACAAAATTAAATGATTTAAAAAATAAAATAAAATAAATATTAATTGGAAATTACATAAAATAAAATAAAAATATTATTTTCAAAGCAAAATAAATGGCATGATAAAAAATGACTTTTGCTTATGACTTTTGGCCCGTTCTGCAGAATTGGTGCAAACTGCTGTCCCACAACCAAAAAACACACTTAAAAAGCATTTAAGTAATTAAATCTTAGATGTTTATTAAGATCCTTCTATTATCTATAGAAACCCATAGTAATATTTAAAATATTAGTAAGCTTAATATATATAAAATCATCATTTATTGGGTACTTTCAATTGGGAGGTTGCTGTCCTGAACCCTAACCCCTAATAATTTCTTTAATAACTTGAAAACGATATTGAAATAATTTTTGTATTTTTTTTCCATTGTTGTTTTTAAAAGTATCTTTTTGATTCTTTTAAAAAGTGAAGTTAAAAAATATTTATTTTATATTTTCTTTGTAAATTATGAAACCTTATGTTTAAAAAAAGTGTCCCGCATTTTTCATGTCACTACCGAAACACTGTATGTTTTAGTCCATTGGCCGAGACTGATTTTAACTAAACCCATAAATTTATGATCAGGAAATATTCCTGTGTCACTCTCTTTCATAGCTACAAGGTGTGAGCAAATAGGTCCCATCATTTTGAGGTAAATGTGTTCAAAAGTCTGAAAAATCTGTGTAACTTTAAGGAACGTCACAACCGAACACCTTTTTGTTTCTGCAATTAAGCACACTTTTTTTGAGTGTTATTCCATAACATTTAGTTTTTATATGTATGCCACTGTTCAGAACTGTGCCAGCTAACCATGTGCTGATTAGCATCTTTGAGCTAGGTTCAAAAGTATCTAAAATTGTCACTACCGTAACATTTGGTGGAGTTTCGGTAGTGACATCTTTGGGTTTTTTTTGGGTGTTATCTACGGTGGCAGAGAAGTGCAAAACAAATCACAATTCTGAAAACAAAATAACAAATTACAAACGCAAATGCAAATCTAAAAAACAAAATAACAATTCAGAAAACACAACAACAATTCCGAAAACATTATAACAAGTCAGAAAACACAACGACAAATCCAAGTATAAGTCTCTGCGGACCAAAAAGAGGGAGTTTCTCAAACGTTCAATGTCATTTTCATCTCATCTAAATTATAATGCCTGAATACTGCCTGATAAAGTAGAGTTTATGAGAGCTGCGCAGCTTTTGTGTACAGCTGTTACGAGGGAAACCGTTCCAAAAGCGCCTCCTACTGGCAGAGAATCAATTTGCATGTTCAATAAGGCCATTTTCTACTTTTGAACTGTGTTTTAATGCTGTTGGATATAACTCGTTTAATTTTCCTAATAAAAAGACGGTTCAACTCTTAATATTTTGTATTTATATTCTCCCCTTTAAATTCTCTCCGCCCCACATAAACAATCCTAATTTAACACCTCTGCCTGTTTTTATTTTTTTGCATCCCCATTTGCTCAAATAGCAAAAGAAAAACCCACAATAGTATTTTCACGACTTATAAAAAGAAGAAAAATTAGAGAGATACTGATAACGCAGTCAGAAGAGAGAACTGTCAAATTTACATCACTCCCAGATGCTGTAGAAACACCCTCGCAATAGTGTTAACTAGTTTTTTTGTATTCTGATTCAAAGGTAATATAATACGGAGTACAGTGATGTAAATGTATGCATATTTATCTGAAAACAAAATACCAAGTCAGAAAACACAATGACAAATCTGAAAACAAAATACCAAGTCAGAAAACACAATGACAAATCCAAGTATAGGTCTCTGCGGACCAAAAAGGGGGCGTTTCTCAAACGTTCAATGTCATTTTCATCTCATCTAAATTATAATGCCTGAATACTGCCTGATAAAGTAGAGTTTATGAGAGCTGCGCAGCTTTTGTGTACAGCTGTTACGAGGGAAACCGTTCCAAAAGCGCCTCCTACTGGCAGAGAATCAATTTGCATGTTCAATAAGGCCGTTTTCTACTTTTGAACTGTCTTAATGCTGTTGGATATAACTCAATTCGTTTAATTTTCCTAATAAAAAGACGGTTCAACTCTTAATATTTTGTATTTATATTCTCCCCTTTAAATTCTCTCCGCCCCACATAAACAATCCTAATTTAACACCTCTGCCTGTTTTTATATTCTTTTGCATCCCCATTTGCTCAAATAGCAAAAGAAAAACCCACAATAGTATTTTCACGACTTATAAAAAGAAGAAAAATTAGAGAGATACTGATAACGCAGTCAGAAGAGAGAACTGTCAAATTTACATCACTCCCAGACACTGTAGAAACACCCTCGCAATAGCGTTAACTAGTTTTTTTTGTATTCTAAATTCAAAGGTATTATAATACAGAGTACAGTGTTGTAAATGTATGCATATTTTTTATTCCATAGTAAGGGCAATTCATACAATACATTTAAACTGAGCTACTTTAAGACCATCTCCGAACATTCTACCACTACTCTGCTGTTCTACCTGTATACCTTGATTGACAGATGTCTCGTCCAATCAGCAGTGAGTAATCTATTCTCAAACCAATGGCGCTGTCTCAAACTATACCTACCTCTTCCGGTTTGTCTGATTTGTCGTTGTGTTTTCTGACTTGTTATAATGTTTTCGGAATTGTTGTTGTGTTTTCTGAATTGTTATTTTGTTTTTTAGATTTGCATTTGCGTTTGTAATTTGTTATTTTGTTTTCAGAATTGTGATTTGTTTTGCACTTCTCGGCCACCGTAGTTATCCCATAGAATTGTCACTACCGAAACAGTACTAAAACTGTACTAAAATTTTGTTTATTTCCCCCAAATATGAGGATTGTGCGTTCCCTTTTGTCACTACCAAAACAATGATGACATGTTTCGGTAGTGACAAAAGGGAACAAACTTTTAGTACAGTTATTTTTTAAGTATGTTTTAGTAGTGTTTTAGTATGCGAGTTAAAATTCAGTAATGTGATCTGGTCGCTACCAAAGCATTACTGTCACTACCGAAACATGGGATGTTTTGTCAAAAATAAAATATACTGAATGATCAACTAAGATGTTATGATTCAATCTATATTCAAACTAATGAATCCTTAACTTTGAAATCAGTATGATCAACGTTTTGCCTTTTACAAAGAACATTTGGATTCAAAATACAACAAATCTCATAAATTACAGTTGAATTATTGTTAAAAATTTAATTGTTATTGATTTACCTCTGAGAAATGTTTAATAAAATAGCAAAAAAAAATGTATTTACAATCTAGATGTAACCAAGATCTTAATAGGTCAATATAACCCTTCTAATTAAATTATTATTACTGTGTTTCGGTAGTGACAAATTTGGGGAGAGAGCAAATATCCCAAAACTTTCTAAAAATACAATATCAGAATTAAATGCACAATTACTAGAAATGTTTACCTTGGATATTATACAATTTGCATACATACACATTTTGGGAAAAATACTTTTTTTTCAAGACGTTTCCAACTCTTCTGTAGAATGGCCTATATTTACTCAAAGCCTCTGTAGAAAAATCTAAATGTAAAACTAATGATGAATGAAAGCCCATGTTGGCTCTTTTCAGCTCTGCGTTGTGTTTAGATATGAGACTGAACGCTGCGGTGAGGGACTGATTGCAGACGTGAGTGTGAGTGTTTCCATCCGTTCCTCTGCTTTATGTGCGTCTCTATTACACTGGGAAGGGCATTTATCATGTTTAGAGGAGCTGTGTGTCTGTGTCACTGTAAGAGTGTTACTCTATCAGATCTCAGACAAACGTTCAGTGTTCAATACATCATACAGCAAACGGCTACAGCAGCTCTGGACAATATCAGCATCATTCACACAATCCCAAAGGCATGAGGAAAAACAGAGCGAGAGAGAGGAACATTAGAGGAGAATATCAGTGCACTGACCGTCTCTGAGCAGAAACCCTCATCATCTGTGCTGACCTGTTCTGATTGGTTCAGACGCTCCTGTCAATCAAACCAGCAGCCAGTGATTGAAGCTTCTGAATCCAAGACACGCCCACAGCTGTCTCTGAACAGTCAACACGGTCCTGTGGGACATTCATTAAAATTATGAATAATTAAAAGTATTTACGTATTTCTGCTATACAAAATGTTTACAGAAAATAATGGAACATGTTTTTTATTCTTTTACTTTTAAATAAAATTCATGATAAAAATTAAAGTTCTAAATAATTCATAATAAAGTGTATTTTTGCTGTGCAGAATGTTTACAGAAAATAACAGAACAAAATAGTTTATTAATTAATTACTTTTTTATATTTAAAATGACATTCATAATTAAAATTATTAAAACTAAATTAATAAATATGTATTTTTTGCTAGAAAATACATTTACAGAAAATAACACTAAAATATTGTTTTACTTATTCAGTTTTTCAACATTTTAAATGACATTAAAATAATAAAAATGATAATTAATAAATAAATAAAAATGTATTTTTGCTACACAGAACATTTACAGAAAATAAGAGAGCTAAATGTTTTTTATTTATCCTTTTTTGATAAATGGCATTCGTAATTAAAATAATAATTAATTAATTAATTAAATATGCATTTTTGCTATACAGAACATTTACAGAAAATAACAAAAGATTGTTTCACTTTTTTTGATACTGCAAATGGCATTCATATTAATTACAATTAGCATCAATTATTAAATAAAATGATTTATGTGCTTTTGCTATAAAGAATGTTTACAGAAAAGGAGATTTTTATTTCATCATATTATTATGTAATTAAATATGCATTAATTTGCATACATTTACAGCACATAAAACTGAACACTGGATAAAGTCAGGTTCATAATTCTTGTTTGATTTTGTTGTCATATTGGATTTAAAGGTTTTTCCAGAGAGGATTTTGGATTTCTCTTTTTATCACTCCATAAATTAGAAAATACTGTCACCACACAGAAAACAAACACATTTTCACCATGTTTAAGGTGTTAAATGTTCCTCAAGTGAATGATATGAACAAACCCTTAAAAGCCTTCAGAATATAGATATGAATAAAACTGTAAAGTCTGGTGTATGTAAGAGAAAAACCTCTACAGATGCAAATAGATAGTGTGCAATAAAATAAACACTTAAATGCATATCTTGCATGCTTTTTTCACTATTATGAACATGTTAGATATATTATGGAAGCAAAACACCTCAAAATTGTTCAGTGCATAAAAAAAAAAGTAGAACTCAAAACTCACATGAACTCTCAGCATCAGCTATTTCTGGATCTGGATATGAACACTTCATATTCTTCACGACTGTAATGACAACAGAAATGTGAGCAGTGCCTTCAGTGGTTTCTGATGCTGAACAGAGTTTCTCTCTTACATCAGACGTGATGTTTACATGAGTCTGAAGTTACTCTACAGTATAGCAATGAATCAACATGAAATATTAAACCTCAGCATCAGTCAGTGAGGGGAACATGTTTAAAATGACACGCCATTTGTAAAACAGGCCGTTAATTTTTTTATTTATATCTACAAAAGTTTGGAGTATTTACAGTTTTTGAGAAAGACGTCTCTTCTGCTCACCAAGGCTGCATTAATTAAACCTTTGAAACATTATTACAGTTTAAAATATCTTCTATTTCTGTTCTATGTGAATATGTGTTAAACTGTAATGTATTTCTGTGATGCGCAGCTGTATTTTCAGCATCATTACTCCAGTCTTCAGTGTCACATGATCTTCAGAAATCATTCTAATATGCTGATTTGCTGCTCAAGAAACATTTCTGATTATTATCAGTGTTGAAAACAGTTGTGCTGCACAATATTTTTGTGGAAACGGTGATACATTTAATTTTTCTGGATTCACAGATGAATAGAAAGTCCAAAAGAACAGCATTTATTTGAAATAGGAATCTTTTGTAACATTGTAACATTTTTGCAACATTTTGTAACAAATGTCTCTACTGTCACTTTTGAACAATTTAATGCGTCCTTGATTAATAAAAGTATCTAATTTAGCTTTGATGCTTGTTTCTTGAGCAGCAAATCAGCATATTAGAATGATTTCTTAAGGATCATGTCACACATTTAAATAAGCTTCATGTTTATGGTCATAATATCTTGTTTTTAATAAATCATCACGTCTAGCACCTCAACGCCTCATTTCTATGTTTGAAACACATTGGCACATTATTTTCTCAGACTGTCTGAAATCTCACGACTTCCTTCACAAATGTCATACGGTTATGAATTTTACTCGTTATGTACATAAATATCTTCAGAACACTGAAAGCAGTTTCTAACCATATGTATGTTCACACACTAATAGTCATATTATTGTTCTATAATAACCCGTGCAAAGGCAGTGTTTACAGCAGTGCTTGAAAATAAAAAGGTATTCACGCATTGCACTGACACAACAGCTCCCACAAAACCACTGATTCTCATTTCGCTGAAGTTTCATTTGATAAAATAAATCACTCAACTTAAAACAATATATATATATAACAAACGAATAAAAGAATGAATAAATAAATAAAGGAATGAGTGAATGAATCATATATAAATAAATGAATGAATGAATGAATAATATATAAATAAAGGAATGATTTATTTTAATGGATTAATGAATGTATAATATACTGTATAAATAAAGGAATGAATGAATAATATATAAATAAAGGAATGAATGAATGAATAATATATAAATAAAGGAATGGATGGATGGATGGATGGATGGATGGAAGAATAATATACAGTGGGTACGGAAAGTATTCAGACCCCCTTAAATTTTTCACTCTTTGTTATATTGCAGCCATTTGCTAAAATCATTTAAGTTAATTTTTTTTCCTCATTAATGTACACACAGCACCCCATATTGACAGAAAAACACAGAATTGTTGACATTTTTGCAGATTTATTAAAAAAGAAAAACTGAAATATAACATGGTCCTAAGTATTCAGACCCTCTGCTCAGTATTTAGTAGAAGCACCCATTTGATCTAATACAGCCATGAGTCTTATTGGGAAAGATGCAACAAGTTTTTCACACCTCGATTTGGGGATCCTCTGCCATTCCTCCTTGCAGATCCTCTCCAGTTCTGTCAGGTTGGATGGTAAACGTTGGTGGACAGCCATTTTTAGGTCTCTCCAGAGATGCTCAATTGGGTTTAAGTCAGGGCTCTGGCTGGGCCATTCAAGAACAGTCACAGAGTTGTTGTGAAGCCACTCCTTCATTATTTTAGCTGTGTGCTTAGGGTCACTGTCTTGTTGGAAGGTAAACCTTCGACCCAGTCTGAGGTCCTGAGCACTCTGGAGAAGGTTTTAGTCCAGGATATCCCTGTACTTGGCCGCATTCATCTTTCCCTCGATTGCAACCAGTCGTCCTGTCCCTGCAGCTGAAAAACACCCCCACAGCATGATGCTGCCACCACCATGCTTCACTGTTGGGACTGTATTGGACAGGTGCCTGGTTTTCTCCACACATACCACTTAGAATTAAGGCCAAAAAGTTCTATCTTGGTCTCATCAAACCAGAGAATCTTATTTCTCACCATCTCGGAGTCCTTCAGGTGTTTTTTAGCAAACTCCATGCAGGCTTTCATGTGTCTTGCACTGAGGAGAGGCTTCCGTCGGGCCACTCTGCCATAAAGCCCCGACTGGTGGAGGGCTGCAGTGATGGTTGACTTTCTACAACTTTCTCCCATCTCCCGACTGCATCTCTGGAGCTCAGCCACAGTGATCTTTGGGTTCTTCTGAATGAATGAATGAATGTGTAATATATTGTATAAATAAAGGAATGAATGAATGAATAATATATAAATAAAGGAATTAATGAATGGATGGATGGATAGATGAATAATATATATATATATATATATAGAGGAATGAATGACTGAATTAATGAATAATATATAAATAAAGGAATGATTGATTGATTGAATGGATGAATGAATGAATGAATGAATGTGTAATATATTGTATAAATAAAGGAATGAATGAATGAATGTGTAATATATTGTATAAATAAAGGAATGAATGAATGAATGTGTAATATATTGTATAAATAAAGGAATGAATGAATGAATAATATATAAATAAAGGAATTAATGAATGGATGGATGGATAGATGAATAATGTAAATAAAGGAATGAATGAATGAATAATATATAAAGGAATTAGTGAATATATAATTAAAGGAATGATTGATTGAATGGATGAATGAATGAATGTGTAATATACTGTATAAATAAAGGAATGAATGAATGGATGGATGAATGAATAATATAAATAAAGGATTGAATGAATGAATAATATATAAATAAAGGAATGAATGAATGGATGGATGGATGGATGGATGAATACTAAATGAATGAATGAATGAATGCTATATAAATAAAGGAATGAATGAATGAATGAATTAATAATATATACATAAAGGAATGAATGAATCAATAATATATAAATAAAGGAATGAATAAATAAAAGGAATAAATGAACAGAAAGAAAGAGAGCGAGCTCGTGTAAATCCAGTGAAGCATGAGAGGTTTTCTGGGAGAGATTGTGATTGGCTGCAGTGTCTCCAGCTACAATAACTGATCTGAGTTTCTGAAAGAGCTTAAAACAACAAACTCCATCCGTTCTCAGAGTCTCGGAGAACAAACGCAAGCGCCGTCTGTTTTATTTGAGTTTGTGTTTCTCCGTCGCGTGTTAAGACTCTCGTAGGTGATGCATTATAATTATTTTATTTTATAATTGTGTTATTTTATAATCAGTACAGTCTCTGAGTTGCACAACACCAGATCTTTTGTGCTTTTCCACTAAAAACAGAGAAAGAGAGACGAGGGTCTGGAGCGAAGAGCAAAGCTGACATCTGTGTGGATTCAGAGAGCTGCCAAACATCTGACGCTGGCAATGAAGAAACATCAAAACCCACAGATCTTCATTTCCAACACAAGACGAGGAGAGAAGAGCAACACACTCAGATACCTGAACATGACAATATGTCGTTCTGACAAAAAGACTTTCAATGTTGTGTCAAGCTAAAAAGCTCACTTTAAAAACGCACAAATCCAGGACTTTAGGACCACCAGAATCCAGATCAGACCCACTGAAATCCAGCTTGAGACGCTGCTGTCTCCATCAGACCTCTGATAGCAACAGAAAAATACATAAAGCAATAAATAAAACAGGAAAGCATTAATGAATGAATGAATGAATGAATGAATGATTGATACATATATAAATGAAGACATAAATACATAAATATATAAAAAGGAATTCATGAGTATATAAAGGACTAAATACACAAATCATATAAATAAAGTAATACAAATTAAGCAATAAAAAACTTAAATAAGTATTTAAATACAAGAATACATAAAAATAAATAAATAAAGGATTAAATGAATATATAAATAAATGGATAAATGCATAAATACATAAAAAGGAATTAATGAATATATAAAGGAATAAAAACAAACAAATGGAAAAAGGAAATAAATAAATGAATATACAAATAAAGAAATAAATACTTAATACTTAAATATACAATTAACAGAACACATACATAAGTAAATAAATAAATTAAAAAATATATACACACAAACACAAATTATATATATATTTATAAACAAATAAGCAAAGTAATAATTTAATAAATTAATGAATATATAAATAAAGGAATAAATGAATAAAGGAAAAAAATGAATGAATGAATGAATGCACAAATGTTTAAATATATAAAACATTCATTAAAATAATTAAATGAATATATAAATAAAGGAGTTAATGAATGGATGGATGGACGAATGAATAAATGAATGAATGAATTAAACATTTATGAATAAATGAATGGATGGATGGATTAATAAATACTATAAAAATAAAGGAATGAATGAAT